AGTCGAAGAAGGAAATTAGAAGAAGGTAAAGTTAGCGCTAAGACGACTAGCGCTGCTATTATTAACATTACTTACTATTGTCGCTACGCCTATAGATATAACCTTACTTATACTACGAGCCTAAGGCACCTTTAATTAAAACTTTAATTAAAAGCTTTAAGCCTATTAAAGGTTTAATTAAAAACGTTAAGGCTAAGTTAAAACTTTAACTAAGTTAAAAGATTAAGCGACTAATAGACTAACTAAGGGCAAAAACTATAGAGCTAAGCTAGCCGGGGTCGATCTTATAGACAATAGGTTACTCCTCGATCTTTCTAACCCTTTAAGCGAGGCGAACCTTAACTACTACACTTATAATAGCCTTTACCTATAGAAACTAGACGAGCTGTGTTTTTTCTAAAAAGTAAATAATAGCCCTCGTAATAATAAGAACAAACCCTCGGAAGCGGACAACCCTTAGAAGCGGATATTACTAGGTCTTTTAAGAGTAGACGCAAAGAACTCGATACAATATTACTTAGAACGGAGGCAGTGCTGCAATACCTCGTACGTCTACCTATTATAGTAGGGAAGACGCGCTCGTATTATAATTAGTCGAAGGCCTTTAGTTCTTATAGATATATATTACTTTTTAGTTTATTATATATAGATATAGCGTAGTTAGAGTTGTATATTATATTGTTTAGAGGTAAGGTTTGATATAGTTACATAATTAGGTAGTTAAGTGTTTAATTTAGCGCGGGCTAAGCAGCTTATTAGACTTGCTAAGTTAGCGGTAATAGAGGTCGTAGAATATAGACAGGCTACGAGGGCGCGGCCTTTAGAAGGGAAGCATATATTAGGGCTAAAGAGGCTATACGTAATTAGTATATAACTAGGCTAAGTAAAGCTAGGGTCTTAGTACCTTAGGTAGGGCTTAGCGCTTAGCGTTAGGCTAACTCTCCTACCTTCCTCCCTCTCCTCCTAGATCCCTATCGAATACTATACTAATTTACTACTACCCTATCTACCTGCTAATATAACCCTTCTTATAGCCTCTTATGCCCTCTTATCTCCTTACTTCTCTCCTAACTACCTAGTACGACAGTCGACGGTACTAGCCTACGTAGAGTTACTACTATCGACGGTAGAATCCTCGATAGCGCTAAGGTCGCTAGTAGCTACCCGCTTAGCAATAGTAGTAGCCTCTATCTCCTCGTTTATCGATATAGTACTACGACCCTAATAGTACTACGTATTACCCTCGTTAAAGTTAGCTACCTTCTCTAAGATCTATATGCCTCTAAGCTGCTAGATATTATTAGAGACGTTGCCGCTAGGGTTTCCGTATAGCTTTGTATACCTATTAGAGTATAACTTCTCGGCTCTACTAAATACGTCGATAGATGTATCCTTATAGGTATAATAGCTACTTAGCTTAATCCTAGTTAGATTAGTTATTATAGCACGTAAGACCCTAGACGGCTCCCGATTTAAGGCTACCTTCTTAAATGTAGCCTACATATTATAGGTCGAATTAGCGTATCGGTTAATATCCTCGGAATACTCGTAATTATAGAGCTCGAGACACTTATTAGCTGCGACGGTATATCCCTTATTGCCGTTTATAGAGACTATACTCGACGTTAGGATTGCTTTTTAAGCTACTAGATTAGCACTAGGACTAAGCAACTAGCGTAGGTAGGTTATTAGACGGCTATAGTTGCCTTAACGAGCACTAAAGAATAAGGGGATTAGGAAGTCGACTAATCTACGAAGATAGCCGATATCTATATTCCGAATAGACTTACGTAACGTAAGGAATTGCTCGATCTCCTTTAGTATTCGAGCTATAGTCGTAAACTGCGGATCTGTACCCGGTTAGCCGCGCTAGGCAGCTAGAGATAACGTATCGTTATATATCTTATTAACAAGATAGATATATTAATTACGAGTAAGTCGAGAGATAGCGGCCTCTACTATTTCTATACGACTATCCTCGCTAGCGATAATTACTCGGCCTTTATCGATAAGCTACTAAATAACGAGACCGATAATACGAGATTAGAAGCTCGTCTTTAATAGCTGCTAAACCTCGAAGAACTTAGCCTTATCCTTACTAATCTTATTGTCTCTATACTAAAAGGCAGCATTAGCCTTTAACGTCTAGGATACTAGTAATAGCTCCCTATCTCTGTTATTGTCCTAATAGGTCCGCAACAATGTAAGGCCGTAGTTTATTATAGTATAGAACTAGGTAGGAGAGAATAAGAGATTGTCTCGCTTGTCGTACGTATCCTTACTCTCGATACTCTTATTACGGACAGATAGGCCGCGTAGAACAGTTATCTAGTCGCTATTGTAGATAATTAGCGGTCTATTAGGTCTATTCTTAAAGTCCTTATCTTAATCTAGGTCTATAAAGTTAAGAAGGATATTATCCTAGACTGCGTATATACCTACAATCGTAGCCTCGTCGTTAAAGGATAGGGGTATAGAAAGTACCTTAGTCTAGGTAGCCGGCATCTTATCGATAACTAGCTACTTCGGACGACTAATAGTATTACTATTATCGTTATCGTCGTTACTAGCCTCTGCCGCCTCCTTCTTAAATATAGCTTTAACGGCCTTCGGGAAAGTATGTACGATAGCCTCGTTAATATAGAATAGGGCGGTCTTCTTACTAATCTTAGTAATCTTAACTGTCTCGGTACTAGCAGTTAGATTAGCTATATCCTTTAGAACCTATACCTAGGCCTTGTCTTCGTATATGTTCTTAAAGATATTATCTAGATCGAGAGGCTTATCGTAATAGATTATGCCCTTCTTTAAACCGCCCTCCGGGATGCTCTTATTCTCTATAAGGTACGATATAGTAATACTTAACATTTCGTTAGTCTCGCTACCGCGCTAGATAGTATAGGTCTTTATACGATTAAAGTTGTCGATAGTCTTACTACACTACTTATTAGGATCGTTCGCTAGCTCGCTAATCTTCTATATCTAGACCTCTACATTCTTGCCTATAAGAATCTATACGGTGCGATACGAAGGAACAAGCCCTAGGTTACTAAGACACTCGAGTATTCGCCGGCTAGCACTATTACTAACTAGAAAGATACTAAGCGCCTTCGGGAAATACGAGGCGTTTGTATATACTATCGAAAATAGGACCTACGAGGTAATTATTATAATCCGCTTCTAGATCTAGTTATACTTGTCGATAAAGGTCTCCTAGTATTGCTTTTAATCTCGCTATAGGTTAGGTAATAGTTCCTCGCTAAGAAGTCGATACTAGGTTAGTACGATCTCTTTAATAGTAGTGCTTATACTACTAAGGTTAAACTTAGTATAACTAAAGTCTAGATTATATATACTAAAGTAGTCTCGGCTAATAAGGCTCTTTAGTTCTTTATAAACAATACGACCGCTAAATAGACGCTCTTCTAGAAAGACGTCTAGAAGCGACTAGAGATTTCTCTTATACTACTTTAAGCGCTTAGTCGACCGATAAGGCTATAACTAGCCGTTTTCTACTATAGATTTTACTATACCTAGCTTGCCGACTAGATACTTAATAAAATATAGTATAGAGATACGGCTCTTCTTTATTAAGGCTTTAATCTCCTCGTACCGCTTATTAAGGGTTGTCCTAGTCTATTCGTTAGTCGCTACTCGGCGCTGTTCTATAGCGGCCTCTTCGTCTAATTCCTTTTTACTACTATCGCGAGCCTCGAGGTCCTCTTTATCGTTAGATATCTCCTCGTCGTCCTCGCTAAGGTCTTTATTTATAAATACCTTATCCTAAAAGTTACTAATCTTATCTATCCCGGCTAGTCTAACTAATTTATCTAGAGGGTTAGAGAGAATGCCGCCGCTACTTAGATAGATTAGTAGATCGGTCTATACGTCTATAAGAATAGTCTATTCCTTAGGTCCTCTAGGTAAAGTAGTATCGTCGTCGTTTAGGCTAGTTATATTCTTATTATAGTTATAGGCGATAGCACTACCGACTAGGTTATTATTAGATAGTAGAACTAAGGTTAAGGAAGATAGATCGTCGCTCGATATATTAGTAGTAGTAGTAGTAGTACTAGTAGCTATAGTAGCGGTCTCCTAGCTATAGTAGTAGCTATAGTAGTAGCTATAGTAGTAGCTATAGTAGTAGCGGTACTAGCAGCGGTACTAGCAGCTATAGTAGTAGCTATAGTAGTAGTAGTAGTAGTAGCGGTCTCTTAGCTATAGTAGTAGCGGTAGTAGTAGCGGTCTCCTAGCTATAGTAGTAGCGGTAGTAGTAGCGGTCTCCTAGCTATAGTAGTAGCGGTAGTAGTAGCGGTCTCCTAGCTATAGTAGTAGTACTAGTAGCGACTTTTAGGTATTTTAACTTTAGCTTTAGAGTCGCGTCTACTATATAGTAGCAACTTAATAACTATACCTCGGATAGACTTATACTATATATAAAAGGTGTTTAGAAATAGTCTATAAAGGACCTCGAAGTATCGAGTCGGCTATAGGAAGGTTATCGATTGCCCTCGAAGGCTATAGAGTAGTTAGTAGATATCGGATAGAATTTTTACCTACCTAAACAATAATTACCGGCGTTAGGAGAAGGACCTCTAAGTGTTAGCTAGGCGATGCGGTATATTATATATTAAGGTGTTTCTAGTAGTATAGCTAGCCGCCTAGTAATCTAGATAGCTATAGTCGAGTCGGCTTAGTAGAATAGCGAAAACTTAACGTACTAACGTCGTATAGACTTGTTTAGTAGGTAGAATAAAGCGCAATTAGTAGGGCTATAATCTCCGCTATTTAGATTGTTGTATTTGCGTAGTCGCGAAAAAGTAGTACGTCGCAGGCTAGTTTAGCACGGCTTGTTCTTAGGCTTATAGGCGAAGAATTATTAGGTGTGTTTGTAATTGGCTGGTCGGAAAGTTCGGAAGCTAGCCCTAATTACTAATCTATCACGTACACTCGGTCGCAGTTTGATTCTTCATGCCCACAAGCCTGATGGGAGGTAGCTCTTACCCATAAACCGGCTTCTGACTATACCCAGGAAACCGCTCCAACTGCCCCGCATCAATACCCTTCAGCTGCGGACATCCCAAAGGCGCAATCAGCGTCCCGATCAAATCCGTCAGCGCGTTCAAAGCTCCCAGCAAAGCATCAGGTTTCGCCTGCGCCGAAAGCTGATACACGAAACATCCGAGATTATTCCCCTTTAACAGAGTCCCCGCGTTGAAAACACCCCCGGTCAAGTTGGCGACGTCGACGCCGGTGAAGGAGTTGGTGGTGCCGGTGTTGCCTCCGATGTCGAGGAATTTGGGGTGCAGGGAGGCGGCGTTCAGGACGTCGGCGAGGAAGTAGTCGACTTCGTAGGGGTAGGCTTTGGCGCGGCGGTACCAGTTTTCTGGGATGCGTTCCGTGCCTTGTACGGCGTTGTAGTTTCCGTTTGTTCCTTCGACGCCGAACCAGGATTGGATGGTGGAGTAGCTCAGCAGGCCGGTGGGGTCGGTTTCGGAGTGGTTGGCCATGAAGCGGAAGATAAAGGTGTAGGCGGCGGGTTGGACGAGGACGCCGGTGAAGGGGCCGTTGAAGAAGTATTTGTTAGAAGCGATTTGGTCGTCGAAACGTTTGGAGCGGAAAGCGGTGAGGGAGTTGAGGGTTACGGTTCCCGGGGAGTTGTTGATTAGGTCTTGGAATTGGGAGGTTACGGTTTTGTAGTTGTTGCCGGATTGGTAGAGGTCTGGGCGGGTTGGGGAGGCGTCACCTTCGTATTCTGTGAGGAGGTGAAGTGTTAGAGAGGTGTTGGGGATGGAGATGGCGTGGTGAGGAAATTCTTACTGTTGTGCGAACCGATGAGACCGTTTCCGAGAGGTCCGGTCGCACCACCTTGAGCGATGGTTGGAGTGCCTCCCATACTCCATGAGGAGAGGTCGCCGTCGATAGCGCCACCGAGAATGGACAAGAAGCCGGCCAGCAGTGGTCCCATGCCGACCACAGCCTCGGTGGCGTCGATGTACTGCTGGACAGTGGCGTAGCCGTTGTGTGGTAGGAAGCCGTGATTGGCGAAGGCATTCAGACCTGAAACAACATCGTCAGCGACTACAGTCAAGCAGCAATCATCGATATGCTGCTACGTACCTGGGCAAGGCCCTCGAAGGTCACCTGGACCTGGAGCCACATACTCGTGCCCGCTTCCCTTCGACACATCGATGTACTGTTCTGCAGCGTTGAATGTGTTGCTGGGCTCGAAGATTGCAGTCGCAGCATCAGCACCAGCCTGACGAGCATCGAGCTCGCCATTTCGTCGTCTCTGGATGATGTTGTTGATTTCGAGGGCACGGGCGGCCATCTCTGGATCGCTGGCCACCCTTTCCAGCATAGCAGCTGGGAAGGCATTGGCCAATGGAGCGGCCGCAGCCAAAAGGACTTGGGAGGTGGTGAACTTCATGGTGATTGAACTGACGAGTTGACAGTCGACACGGAGTTCTCTCGAAAGGCTGCTCAATCCAAGGTATCGCGATGGGACTTGCGTCGCTTATTTATTGTCCTCCCTATTCGCGCCTCCATTCCGTTGCCCCAACTGTGCTTCGATGCTTCGTATCGTCCTTGACACAGTCCACTCCACGCGAAGTACATCAGCGTTGAACCCGGCGGAGGCGAGTTGGTCCAGCACTACTACTGGCGAAGAGTTTGCAGGAGACCAAGAACGACCAGTTATTCCAATTCTGGCAAGTCGAGATGTTTAGCGGTGCCGATCGACAGTGGGGACGTCGGATTGGGCTGGTCGAGGACTGCCTTCCAATCGAATGAAGTGTATTAATTTGGGCCTCGGCGTTCTCCAATATCAGATTTTGTCTTATGAGTTTCTTGTTGTTCGTCGATAGGTGCTCTCGTACAGCCGGATTGCAGCGAAGCTTTGCTGTGTTTGCGACTATGAAACGTTGCACACACCCTAACTGCGTGGCTCGTATGCTTGTCTTGCGCATGCTATCAGATGACAGTCTTCTGCTTCGATCTTGCAAACGTATAGATGTTTAGCGTGTAGCTGGCTGTCCATTTCCTGGACCATTGATGGTCAGCACCCACAAATTGCTATGCGACTAAGCCAAACGCTTCCCTGGCACTGCTGCAGAGCCCGACATTGACTTTGAAACTTTGCTGTTTCCTCGGCGAGGGCAAGAATTGGCGATTGCTGCATGGGACGGCGTTGTAGGGCTGCCATGTGATGAGGCAAGTTCGCTGCTATCACCATCTCGCGTGCTGAATCGCGAGCCAGGCCGTCGGTATCTTCCTGCTTTGTGTGCATTGCTGATACCCATGGCAAGCATCATGGAGAAGCTTAAAATCAATCGCAAGATCATGCTGATGGTGAACCAGAATTTCTGGTGATAATTAGATACGAGTCGGCTCTGATTAGTCGCCATTCCATCTAAGACTGTGGTCGGCGCTTTAGTGTCCGCCTCTTCGACGCCACGTACGAAAGACGCCACCTAAGAGCGCTATCACTTTCCAAATAGTATGCTATGATGAGGGTATGATGATGAAGGAAGGAGATTTTTTCGACGTCGTGGAAGTTCTCGTAAGGAAGCGAAGTGTATACGAGAGCTGAGAAATTTATGCATGAAGTCGTCTGAATACGCTTCCGGCATGCGGTGATCGTTATGCTGATCGCAACGGCACTCGTGTCGCAACGACACATCCGTGCCGCGTGTGCAGGAAGGGCTCGGCCACACCACTGCGCAAAGTATTAATACGGATGTTGGAAGTCCTGCAGTGACAGCAGTTGACCTACTTCCGCGCAGAAAAGACTTGAGCTTGAAATCAGTTTCATTTATTTGATTGACTTGACTCACTTCATCGATCAACTACTTGTATTCCGTCCTGTTCTCCGCCGATGTACAGAAAGCTGTGGTGACTGGAGGTGGCAGTGGAATCGCAGCTCAATGCAAGCATTCTGAGCTTGTATCTCGTCCATTCGTCGATGCCGTAGAACCTTTATCCGAACGCCTCGCTAACCTCATTCAATTGCATGGCTGTCGTTTATCCTATGCAAGCAGCTCAATTTCAACGCTGATGCTTCTTCACGACCCGATGTCGAGCATGACTGCTCTTAGCGTCATCAAGATCGGACCCAGAGACCAGAACAGCATCTTCGGACGTCGGAGTCTCTGCCTGGCTACCATCGTCATTTCTCTCTGGCTTCTGAGTGCCAGCTGCAGTTTTTCGCTTGTGTTGCTCAATACTGAAAGAGAATATACTCGATTCGTCACGCGAAATCTTCGCCTCGGATTGTGGCTCGCTCTTATCCTTGCTTACTTTGCTGTCCGCGCTCTTCTCGTCTTTCGAATCCTCACTGCTCCCGAAGAGATCGGCCCAAAGATCGGCGAAGATACCCTTGGACTCCTTCTCCTCCGCAGGTATGCCACTGCTTTCTTCGTCATCGATGGCCTCGCCAGTGATGGCTTCTGAGTACTCCCAGACCTCTTTGAATTCGCCTCGAATCAAAGCAGTGCCCCAGACACTGGTCAGGACACCTGGCACCAGATAGAGCAGTGCTGGCTGAGCATGCTGAAAGACTGACATGAAGATCAGAGTCGCTAGCATACCCACGATGTAGCCAAGGACTGATGCAGTGAAGTATGGTTTTGGAAAGCTGGTTGAAAGTCGCGCCGGAAGCAATGCACTCTTCACGCCACGAGTCCATAGCTTGTCGCCCCAGTAGCCACTGACTGTAATGTACGGTGCCTTCTCTGTTTCCATTGTGCATACCTCGCCCTCACATTTTTGCACCTTCTTTTGCTTCCGGAGATAGAATATGTAGAGGTCGAACCTTAGAGCAAGAGCAACCATGAGCCCAGGCAAGACAATGTCACCAAGACCAAGCATGCTGTAGCTACGCTTGGGTGCTTCTCCAGGCGCTGAAGGCTGCGAGTCTGGGCGTGGAAAGAGAAGTTTGATGGGGACATCGAGGTTCTTAGCAACTGTCACCATCAATGGGGTGAAGAACACGGCCCAGATGTCGTAGAAGAATAATCCGCTCAGGATCAAGGTTCCGGTGGCGAAGGTGGTGGGCGACATCAGCTGTAAAGCACCATAGGACACGGCAAAGCCTTGCAGGTTCGTCAACCACCAGGGCTTGTCGCCAATGAATGAGTACACAATGGCGACAACTCCCAGTATGGCCGAGAGTGCGTTGCTTTGAGTCATGATGAGCTTGAAGTTGAACAGATTCTTGGCATAGCCTTTGACCTGGAACTTCTTAAAGACGAGGTCTCGCAGGCACCACGCTACATTTGAGGCAAAGCTGGGCAATGGCAAACGACCGAAGATGCCAGCGAATGGTGAGCTACGTGAGCTGGTATCATCCGCGCCGCCTGCCATCGTCACTTGGTGCTTGTCTGCGCGCACCTTCCACAGCTTGCCTTGATCGACGTAGTAGCTAGGCATGAAGACACCTGCGACAGTGGTCAGGGCATCGTTGATGAGCTTGGCGACACTGAATGTGCCGATCAAGCCAAAGTACAAGCCGAGCACAGTATTGATCACGCTGGCGCCGTATATCTTGATCAACCAGTACAGGGTTGCCAAAACCATTCCTGCAGTGACTGGGAATATGATGGCATCTGTGGGTGTCAGACCTTCCATTTTCTGCTCGTTCTCGTCCTCCTCGTCCTCGTCCTCGTCCTCCTCATCATCTCGACCGTGGCGAGTGCGCTTTGGTGGCTTTGCGGCGGAGCTTGGGCGCGAGAGGGAGGCATGGGCGCCGATGTAGATTGGAAAGAGGGCGGCGAGCAAGAGATGGATATAGACGGGAATCAGAGGTCGGTTCTGTTGAAAGTGATAGGCGGCGGCTTCCGCGAATTTGTCCATGGTCGACGGTGTTAGATTGGAGTGGCTGGGTGGGCTATCATGACTTCTATCAAGGATGTCTAGCAAACAAAAAGCTATGTACTCGAGCTGACGACGCATCATGCAAGGGCCTGCATTTCTCGGCCCGGTCATCCGAACATTTATCCGACGTATCGCTGATCTCATGAATTGATATCACGAAGGCGTACTTCTTTCCACGCTCCGCCATATATGCGAGGGGTCGTACTTCCGGGAATATCACAAAGGATTTCAATACCAGGCTCGACTCTCCAGTACCATCCATAGTCGAGCACAAGCGGATGGCGATAGAAGAAGCCGGACTGATATCTGCACATGTGTCGATACGACGAGCTATTCCTCCAATACTGAGTCGGAGGCTTCCTATGGCTTGCGCATGTGAGTGAATGTACGGTCCAGAAGAGGCGGAAGAAGCTCACCCGTCTCTCCTTTCTACATTCTCACAGCTTTGCCAGGCTGGACTTTGCAATCGCGAGCCCAACATAGCACCTCTACCTGGGCCCATTTCAACCCAGCAGGCATCGCCGGTCTGTGGCAAGAAGGAAATCTCAAGATGGGTTCCGACATGGAGAAACAACAGCTGTACGAGAGTAAGGAGAGGAGAAGCACAGAGAGTCCACGACGTCTTGAAATACACTCTCGAATGGAATCGCTCACCCCTTCATCTCCCGCAAGATATGAGCATCTCGACGGTCTCCGTGGCTTCAAATCTAAAACCCTTGTGTTTCTCGGGCGCGTCAGCTTCGCTCTTTACCTTGTTCACCTACCGATGAAGCCGATCATCGAAGAACGGACCAAGCCTCTGTTTGGCGGATACACCAATGCACCGCTAGAAGGAACGTTCTGGAATCACCACTGGAGTGTCTCGGACGTGGGTCCGCCGGGTCTCAGTCCGAGGTACCTGATTGCTATGGCTGTCACAATGCCGTGTTTTCTGCTAGGTGCATGGGCAGCGACAATTGCGATTGACGAGCCATGCGTTAGGCTGGGGAAACATTTGACTCGAAAGCTGGGTCTTGATACGGCGAGGAAGATGAGTGCAACAGCGAGGCTGGAAGTATAGATTTGCAGTTGGTGACGAGAATGCGCGCCTGCGATGTCAGAGTCATGAATGTAAGGTGGTGAGTTTGCAGTATTTGCGACGGCGAGGAATGGCAAGGACTGCTGCCATGTGCGCTTGGCTTGGCTTGGCTCTTCTCACTTTCTTACTCTCAGGCTCAGGCTCCTAGATCTTTCCAGACAAGCACATCGGATGCATGCTTCGATGGCACCACGACCTGACATTCCCGGAACGTCCGCCAAAGAGCAAGCCAGAAAGGCGTGTCGTCGAAGCAGTAGCGCTCACCCAATTCCTTCTTGACTGCTTCTGTCGCTTCTTCCGCATGGTAGAATGGTATCTGGCTGTATGACTGCTTAGAGTTGCCGCCAGAAGTTGGGACCGGCCCAGATGTATGAGCGAGCACTTACGGAAAGAGATGATGGACGACATGGAAGTCGATTATGCCGTGGAACACATATCGTCCCACGATGCCGAAAGGCCGATCAATTGTGGACAGCACACCATTCATGTACGTCCAGCCCGAGCTGGCGAAGTGCTGAATGTCTCGATGTGTGTGATGAAGATATGTGATCGCGACCAGCCAATTGTTGACCCAGGCATATGGAACTCCGTAGAGGAGTGCCACATTGGCCCAACCGATCTTGCTAGCTGCCATGGCGAGGAGCAACAGCATTCCCAACAACCCCAGCGTGGACAACCCTACGAATGCCGCTTCTGACGCCGTAAAGATGCACGCTGCTGGATTCAAATGGCATCGATCAAACGTCTTGCCCCTCGACGCTCTCACCAACGAGCCAGGTCCACCACTTGCATAGCATGCGATGTACGCCTGCCAGCCGAAAAGCTGATGGCAGACAAGCAGAATGGCAGAATGCAAAGGAGCGTCCTCCGTCTGATGAAGAACTTCAGAAATTCGTCTGGACCATGTTATCTCCTCTTCCCTGGAAGGCACATACGCCGTATCTTTCTCAATATGGTTTGTGTATCGATGATGACGAGCATGCGTGTACTTCTACCAGGTTGTAGAGTTCGGTATCAGCAGACACCCCATCAAGAACCTGAGTCTTGGACTCGTTGAACTCACCCAAGAGAATTATGGAACAAGAAGAGCACTATGCAGGAAAAACCCGATCGCATCATTGACCTTTCTGCCCGGAAATAATGCGTAATGTCCGCACTCGTGTGCAAGAATCCAGATTCCAGTGAACACCAAGCCTTGGACATACCCGTAAAGCATCCACAGAGCAACACGAAGTGCTCGACTGCCGATTTGCGGGACGAGTTCGAGAGCTGCGAATGCAAGACCTACAGCCAGGAGAACATCTGCAAGAACGTGTGCAGCAGATCTCACCACGCTTGGACGAAAACATGCCTCTGGGATCGCTTTTCGAAGCCGCTGCAACGAAATCTTGCTGGTCGTTGTCCTGGTTGGAATACTCGACAGTCCGGAAATTTCTCCGACCTCATCACTTCCGGCGAGAAACATGACTTCGAAGATTGGAACATTGTTCGAGATAGGGATAGACGGTGCTCTTATCTTTTTGTGTCTGTGGTGCTCCAATGCTTCCAAAGTGTAAATGCACACATTGAGCCGGTCTTGAGCCGTTCGGACTCCGGAGTCAACCCTTCATGTTAGGTAGGCTATGCATTGGAGTTCTATGCTAGACGTAGGAATTCCGAAAGCCTTTTGGTCGGCTGGCAGGGAAGCCGTATAATTCCGAAGAGCCTTTGTTGGCGAGCACGTATACCGCGATTTGATATCTAAATCGCTTCTTCTAAGTAAACCACCCATTGGTTTGGTTGGGTTGGGTTCGGTTTTGAAACCGAACCTACACCGAAAATCTGTGGCTACACTGCCAAGAGACCGGTTACACTTGTGAGGACTATATAGGTCGTCTAACTGAGAACGTGCCCAGAGCTGAAGAGTCGATCTGTCATAGTCATAGGAGATCAGGAAGGCGACACTGACAAGAAACGAATGTCAAACATCTCGCTGCGTGTGCTAATAGTCAGCCAGCAGTCTGTTTCAGGTCCGGGACCACGTGAGCAGATCCAGATCCAAGAACAAGAACACCACAAAGAGCTCACCTCCAGCACTCCCACGCCATGCCCAAATAGGCACTTTGCATAGTCCTCAAGCCAGTGACAGCGAAGCTGTGGTCATCTCAAAAGCCAAACCGATCAGGCGACTATAGATGTTGAATTGTGAATATTCAGTTTGAATATATATTTATATTTAATTAAATGAACCTTAAATATAGGTAGACTAAATAGTAGGTATATTTATATTTAGGCAGGCTATACGTCGGCGTATATAGATCCTATATAGATTTTCAATTTTACGGTATTTTGGGCTCTTTCTTTATATAATAATAGGTATAAAGCGCGTAGAAGTAATCGAGGTAGATAGGTAATAATACTAGTTATTCTAGTAGTAGTGCTAACTCGTAATTAGCTGTTAGACTCGGAGTCTAAACCTAAGCTAATATCGTCGCTAGTAATATTGCCGCCGCTAATATTGCCGCCGCTAATAACTAAGCCTATTATTAAGACCGAGCCTACTATCGAGCGTAAACCGTTACTAATTAAAGAGCCTATTACGAAGAGGCTTTATAAGAATCCGAAGAAGACGTCGAAGGCGATAGAGTAGCTTAAGGAATAGCGAGCCGAGATAGATACTTAGTATAAGGTAATAGGGCGGCTACTAGAACAACGCTAGGAGATTAGGAAGGGATATAAGGCTATAGAATATAGGATAATTGCGAAGAATGCTAAGCTCGATATTTATCTAAAGAAGGTAGAGGCTTTCGACGAGTATATTCGGAAGAGTAGCAACTATGTGCTAGTATATCCGAGAGACTATCGTTGCGAGGTATATCTCGACCGTATTCGTAGAATAGAAGAGAAAGCGAGGCACTTTAGATTCGCGGACCCGTATAGTTATAACCTATATATGCTATATAGCGGTAAGGAATATAAGCTAAAGGAAGAGCTCGCTACGTAGCGCGCTCGTAACGCTTTAGCGGCAATAGCGATAGTAAAGGAGTATATTAGTAGTAGTGTTATAAATAAAGAAGATAGAATATAGAAGGTATTAGTTGCTTTATATACTATTACTGCTTATCTAGGGTCCTATAGCGTTATATAAGGCTTAAGTAGCCTAATAATCGTATCCGGATAGTATAACCGAGAGCGGTCCGCGATCGGGCCTTTCCGGCCGTATATTTCTAGTAAACTTAAATTTTTCAAATCTATACTAATAATTATACCTCGACTACTAACACCGCTATAGTTAACTTCCGCACTATATATAAATTAATATACAAAGTACAAGAAAATTTGCTAAATAGCTAGGCTTCGTAACGGGAAAACGACCTATATCGAAAACGTAAGCGTAGCGATAGCGCTAGCTATAAAAGCGATAGCGACCTCGAAGCGGTCCTAAATCCGATACTAGTCGAGATACCTTCTATTAATACGTAGTCGACTAAATCTATACAATAATCGACACCTTCTTTGCTATAAGTACTAAAGCTATTATCGGTACCTAGAAGCAAGAAGACAAGACAGAAAGCGGTAGATCCTAAAATACTAGCATGTATAAGAGAGCCTTATCCGTAGGAGGCAGAGTATATAGATAACTATAGATACAAGGTATAGTACTATATATTCGAGGATTGCTATAAAACAGCCTTCGAGCTAGACTTAGGTCTATAGTATAGTACGATAAGCAATACCGACTATTATTTAATAAGAAGGCATAGCTTATATACTAGTAAATACAAAGGCAAGGAGCCGAGATAGAAGCAAGCCGATATTCGCGATAGTATAGCTATTTAAGTACTTACTAAGGCATCTTCTCGAGAGGAACACGTACTATTAATCCTACGTAACGTAGCTAAAACATAGCAATATCGTAACGCTCTCGCTGCCTTCGCCTCCGAGTAGAGTATAGCCTTTAACAAGCTAGTTTCACCTAGTTTCTATAACATTATATTAGCCGTTAATCTATAGGCTTTACGAGTCTTCCTATAGTTATATACTTCGCTCTACTTACGAGTCTTCCGCCTCTTCTATTATATACGCTATTAAGTAGTGAAATACCTCTCTATAGCTATTAGCTATATTCACCTCTATATAGACACCTAGAAGTCGTAGTATAGCTATAAGTACTATTAAGCTATTAACTGCCAATTCGTCGACAAAGATAGTAAGCTATAATAAGTACTTCTCGACCTTCCTATCGTTATTATACGCTATACTAGAGCCGAGCTTATACAGCTTCTTATTAAGGCCTTTAAGCAGTTTAATATTGTTAACAATATCGGTTGGATTACAAGCGATAACGTTACGTCTAATAATACGTTAATACGTAAGATTGAGCGCTTTCTACGCTCCGAAGGTATTACTTAGTAGTACGAGAAGATACGCCGGCTTCGCTATATTAGATATATTATTAACCTCGCTATATAAGCCTTTATATTCTCGGAGTCTTAAGAGTCGGCTAAGATAGCCTTCGAGAAGGCAAAGAATAACGAGCGTGCCTTTATTAAGTAGCAGATAGCTGCTTATAATGCCGCTGCTACTAGTAACGATAATGTCTCCGTCTCTATATAGCTTAATATCGATACAGCCTCGTTTACTAAGCAAGAGACTATACAGAAGCTATATAACCTGTTACTCCGCCTCTAAGACGATATTATATAGGCTATATTTAAGTTCTTAGCTAGAGCCGCTACTATAGCAGCGGTACTAAAGACACCTAGTAAGACTCGGCAGAATAGCTAGCTCTTGCTTATAGACGAGGCTATTAAAGCTAAGCTAACATTAGACCTTCTATTCGTACGAGAGCCTTTACTATAAGACGTAGAGCTAACTATAGCCGACTAGATAGTAATTAAACACGCTCGCAACTTCCTATATCTATTTAAGGAGGTTATAATACGCCTATAGAGCTATAACTATATACTAGATAGCTTCTAAGAAGCTATAGAATACCTCGTTAACTATTACGAGAAGTCTCTCGAGCTATATAAGTATAGACCTGCTATTACGAAGTCTATTATTGTCTCTTGGCACCTGTTTAGTAAGTACTACTAACTTATCGACGAATCCGGTACGTACGTAGCGGCTCTCTTACTATACCCTTTAAAGCGACTTACTTAGCTTTAGAAGCGCTAGACTAGAGTAAAGAACACTAACTAGTTAGAGCTAGCAATAGTAAGAGCGAGGGCATTATAGTAAGAATATAAGGACAGGTACGAGCCTTTAGCAAAACTAACTACTACTATAGCGGTTATAGACCTTACTAGCTTCGAGTCGTAGTAATTAGCCGCGGAGGTTATCGATACGGTTAAGGACGAGTTTAATAGCTTCGTCTATGCCGCTCCGTGCCTATTGCCTGTTATCTAAGATAGCAGTAGTAACGACGTCCGAATAGGTCTATTACAATAGTAGTTATAACTAGCTTAGCGATAGGCGTAGCCTTTATTATCGTAGCTTACTATCGACGTCTTATCTACCTTCGCTATATCCGCTAAGAGCGAGCGTACCTTTAGTATAGCAAGGCGTACTATTCTATAGGACCGAAGCTAACTAGATAGTAAGACAGTGCGTATAATAGAGCCTTCTAAACAATAGTAGAAGGCTAGTATTACATTACTAGTAATAGATAACAGTACTATTAATAAAGATAAGATAGAAGACTTATTAGATATATAGTACTATATAGTAGGCGCCTTGTAGTAATATATCGATAGTATTATTATTATAGTATCTATAGAAGCAGTATCTATAACAATAGTATCTATAATAATAGTATCTATAACAATAGTATTAATAGACAGCGATAACGACGTAGAGGTAGCTATTAATCTATCTATCCACCTCCGCGGAAGACTGAATACTAACTATTCACCTGAATATACGAAAAGTTATATTCATATTCACTGAATATACCCTCTAAATACTGAATATTCAGTATTCAACATCTATGCAGGCGACGGTAAAACCGAAACCTGCTGGCTGTGGCTGCTCCTACCACCAGCTGAGTGCACATGGCATCTGTCACTACTGGTCTAGCTGACAGAATGGGCGTAGTCAGACCATTTCAGTCAAATATGTCAGACCTCTCGACACAAGATCATTGCCATCCCAAAGCCCATCTAGAATATCCCTAGCGATGTCCGACCCAAAATGTGTGGGATTCAAGTATCAAGTCTGTTCCAGCCGCTAATAGCTTTCTTCAAATCTCCGCCCAAAAAGGAAATCCAAGAAATTCGAGAAGCAGACCATACCTATATCCGCGGCGATCCGAGCACGCGGTCTCCATGTCCGTTTTTGAACAGTCTTTCTAATCATGGGTATCTGTAAGTGCCGCCTACGGTGATAAATGGAAACTTCGTAGACCAGCCAGAATTGTTGACCACGATAGCCCTCGAGACGGCACCGGCATAACACAATCGCACCTCAAAGCCGCATTGCTAGTCTCTGCCGACTGCACACCTCTGCTCGCGGACGTCTTATCCAGCATCGTGAAACCCCTCCTCCACTCAGACGGAACTTTCACACTACTCGATCTACGCAAACACAACGTGATCGAGCACGATGCCTCTTTCACCAGACTAGATGATCGGCAAGGCGATAATTTCACTTTCCAGCCCGCGATGTTTCAAGCCTTTCTCGAAGATGCTGCTCCAGGCGGTGGAATTACGCGTGAGAGTCTTGCGAGAACTCGTGTTAGGCGCGATAAAGAGTGTAAAGTAGCTTTTGGGTATAAAGGGTTGCGGAGTTTGGGGTTGAGATTGTATGGTACGACCTGGTCGCAGACGTGTATCCTGTTGCAGACGTTTGGCGAGAGGATTGCGGTCAAGGATATTACGGTCTTTTATACGGAAGAGAGACTGCCGGATGGGTGGCCTGGGACTAGACGGAGGAAGATGAGCTTCGCGGGGCTGCTGGCGGATATTCTTGTCGTGTACTGGAAGCATATTTTTGTGAAGATTCCGGATTCGGATGTGAGAGATCCAGAGACGAGAGGGTGGTGATGGTCCAGGGTAATACTCGAATTTCCAGGTGCGCAAAAATGACGAAAACCTCAAGTCTTCATCGTCCTCGCCTTCTTCAGCAAGTCTAGGTCTCGACCCCGATCAAGTAATTCTTCAAAATCCTCACTCGTCATGACCTTCGCATCAGGTACGCCGTGCTCACTCTTCATATAACTTTCCACGATAGATCTCGTACGTGCATCTAGATGATCGCAGATGCCAGATTGCGAGTGATCAAAGGTTGTGATAGTATAATCGCCACAATCGTGCCAAATGCAAGCAAATTGATGTTTCTGATAACTTGGCAACTCGCCCCGGCACCAAACGTGGCGCACGATGCCGTGTGAGTCGAAGAGATGCTGTCGTAGGTCTTGTCTGCCAGGGAAACTAGGCGCCTCGCAATCTGCTTCGGGGCAGGAGTAGGACCTATGCAAAGCGAATCTCTCCCAGCGTTCGGTTTCTGCTCTCTCCCTTCGAACCTCGACTAGAATTCTGGCACACTCTTCTAGTTGGTCATCGATAGTCTTACAGTACTCGTTGACAGCGTCTGTCATCTTTGACTTGGTTTCGTGCCCGGCCGATGCCCGGTGGCTGGCTTTTCTTGGCTGCCACTCGTCGAGACCAATATCGCAAATACCAGAAGAGCTCGGAATATTGAATCGAAAGTATAGCGGCTGTTTACTCTTGGGCAGATGTCTGATCGTCTTCTTGAGCTCTTTGTGCGGGCCCTCCGTATCTGTGAGATTTCGAGCAAAGTCGCTTAAGTGGTCTGCGGTGCGCTTGACGGTCTTGAGCACCCGCCAAGCACTGTGCGGCTGCCATTCTGCTGCTTCTCCAGTGCCTATTGAGATGATCAAGCGAGGTTGCTGAGAGTGATGCATCTGCGTGACCTCATTATATGCGAGTTGCACGGGATTGTTGGCATCAACGGCGCCATCCATGTAGAGAAGACCTCCGACTTCCTTCTCAGAGAAATAGGTCGGCGCAGCACTTGTGGCTCTCGCCGCTTCTATGATCGTAGTTGGAGGTAACGGGCCTGGATTCAAGTGATCTTCTTCTTGGCCATCGGTAAGCCGAGTGGACGGTTTTGGATGTTCGTAGCTCCGAAAGAGATATCGCATCGAGACACCGCCAAGGGTTGATGGTCCATGGGAGACGACAACGCTGTGATCATTAGTTGACGATACTTGGAAGTCGAGACCTTCAACCGAACAGCCCGACACGGCGACAGAGTATACATATGCAGGCCGAGCGAAAGGCTTCACGAGGTGGAGGCTGACTTACGTTCGTGCCGCACCCTCATTCTCATTCTGAAGTGCGAGCTCATCCGCCGGCCTCGTCAGCGTCTTCCCTACTAGGCCGTTCTGCAACACTTTGGACAAAGCTTGCTCCATGTCGCGACTTCTGTACTTTGGCACCATAATACTGCCCAAGGCAGTGACATACGGCCGTCCGCGGGCAAATACGCTGTTTCCAACCACGTCGTATTGCTTAAGCGCGGTAGAAACTGACATCTGAAGGCGGCCGAGCATAATGGAGCTCAATCTGCAGGAGTGAAATCAGCTAAAAGCCACGGGACGATGCGTTGCAAGAAGCACATGAGAAGCCGATAACTTCGTCAGGTTGCTATAGTACTCACCCTCCTGTACTGGTGCCGAAGAAGTAATCAAAGTAATGATGAGGACGAAAGCCCGCGTCGAAAGACTGGCGAGGGACATCGGGATTGGAGACTGAAAGGCCTGCGGGTACTTGTGTGCTATTCCACGGATATGCGGCGCTGCTCGTGATCTGTCCGTAGGCAGCGTGGTATCTAGTCTCATTGCTCTGCTCCATCCGCTCGACCTTCTGCATGAGACGTTCCAGAATTTTCAGCGACGCATAGCCTCGAATTCCTCCACCGTCTGCGAAGTCTGTCAGTCAAGTGGTTGATCCTGGAAATATGATGTCGATCGAGGTTTTCCGTACCTAGTGATAGAATAATTTTTCTTCGCCATGGACTCCTGGCTGAAGTGTCGGAATTGTATCGCCGGCCGCATTTAGGCAAGGTTCTAGGTATGACTATACCACTGTCGGCGCTACCGACAACTGCTGACTGCTCGCCTGACACAAGAACATCCGACTGTGAGGCCATTATAGAGGCTATAATGTTAGTTCGATAGTGAAGAGAGAACTTACGGCAAAGTTTAATACGAGAACTCAGGCTCCTGTGGAATGGTCAATCTGCGTGCAACATCTCCAGCCTCTCCTCTGGCGATGTACTGCGCCTTGTGATGCATGTCGGAGGGCTGCAACTACAAACACAACCGGACGTGCGCCTTCATGGTGATAATACCACAGCATGATGTCCTTAGCGATGTCCACAGCCGACGTACTCCAAATAAGCAGGTCGCGGTGACAGTCATTGCAGCCAACTGGTGAGCTGGCGGCAGGCTAACCGAGCGGCTGGAGGCGATGATGGAAGCGAGGCCGGTGCGTATGGCTCGAAGGCTGCGGGCAGAGGGGAGCGCGCACAAGCACTGCCTCCAAAGCGCCTGCGTCACGAAGAGAGCGGGACTGCAGTGCACGAGCATCACTCGATGCGACCGGTGTGTGGTCTGGCTGGGCCTCACAGGTGACGCAAGGTTCCACAGCATCTCCGCTGGGTAGGTGGCTGTGATCTGGAAACACATATTTAGCAGAGGCCGCCCGCCCGAGTCGTGGGGGCCACAACACATTGTCCTGAGCGAGATGACATTTAATAGCCTGCTGCGACGTATCCATACAAACCACACAGGAACTCCAACAGACAAGATGACCACACCTCAGCGCAGACCAACTTGGTCGAGAAAGTTCAGCGGCGATGACTTGTCGAAGAAATGCGTCTGCTACATCAGGTCAACACATAATGTATCCGTCGAGCCGCGAGATGTGATAGAGAGTAAGTTGCAAGTCTATCAGACCTGGTGACCTGCCTCAAGCTAACTCGACCGCCAAGACCAAAAACAGGAACCGATTGCAACGGAACGCATTGATCGCAATCCTTGGAAGACGGAGCAGAAAATTGTCATCCGACGGAATTCTTTGAAGAGCAATGCGTCGCTGTCGACTGCCACCGAGCGTTCCAGTGATGAAGACGAAGAAGATCCATTTCCTTCGTCAAATGATATGCTGTATCACTGCACTATTCCTTTCGACCATATGACCTGGGACCGCATGACTGGGAATGTACGGCAAATTCGGATATATGAGCAGCCTTTGAGTTATGCGATCAGCGTGCGTGCGTAATGGGAGAGATAGTAGTGATATGCTTCGCAATGCATTCGAATTTTTGAGGATAAGCTTCCAGCGCTATGGGTCGGCGCTCGTCAGGCTAGAAGATCAAGCTGCGTATCATATAGAGACGTGCACTGAGGCAACCAGACGCTCGCTGGGGTATCACATTCGCCGTCCGAGTCCGTATAAGGCTGCGAGGCCGAATCTCGAGTCTCCGGATGTTGCAAAGCCATCGCTAAGCACCAGGGTTGCGCAGGGCAAGAACCACAAATAGGGTACATACAGTACAATGCTCAATGCTGGTTATAGGGTGTTTTAGCTACCCGAGTCCATGGCCTCTATTGCCTTGAGGGCATTTTGTAGACAAGCATCCACCATCAGATGCGCTATACGCCATCTGTCTTGACACCTCTTGTCCGGCTACCGATGTAGCGACTGTCGATGACCCCCGAGTATATCGTGTTCTATACACCCGCATTCTTTCGGTATTGCAAGGGGTTCGTGGGGAGGAGATTCGACGCGCGGTGTAAGGTCTTCTCTTCAGAATCGTGTTTGCTGTTGCGTGGCTACTCATAAGCTGATGAAATTGCCTTAATGACCGGCACGCCCGACAGCGGCCGCAAAGCGCATTTCGCACGCGGTTCCTGACGGATTATTATTGACGATGCTGAGATGATATAATACGGATATTAAAGGCAGCCGGCGAACCGAAGCAGCGCAGCTTTGTGATGAGATGAACCGCACGGCACACTCACTTCACTTCTTGGCGTAGACTAGCGGATCGTGCCCGAGACCCTTGCTCAACCTAAACTTCAACTAAACTTTGGGGTCGGGGTCTTCACGTTTCCTCCTTCCGCCATGCACCAAAATTCTGTACCGCAGCCTTCCGACTCGCCGTGACCGCTCAGATCAGCAACAGGACAGGCTCCGGGTTTTGTGAACTTCATACACCATTGTGGGTGCTGTGTCGTATGCCAACGTCAGCAGATCTGTACTGTACTGTACATACATTATTCTCACCGTGCGTGGGAATACCTACGTCAAGGTAGGTATATCTCCTCACTACTGTGTATGCCTTCTTACCCAATCTCATCCCCGAACAAATTGCTTGCGTTGCCTACTGCTTTGTATTGTACGTACATCAAATGTCTTGTGGACTACCAAGCAAAAAGAACCGCTTAGAAGCTGACGACCATGATCAACAACCCCTTCGGATCCTTTTAACAAACGGCCGCTTCCCCGTCTCCCTGGACTTAGCAAGACAATTCAAACATGCCGGCCACAAAGTCTACTGCGTCGACCCGCTCGGGTATCCGATTTGCAAGTTCTCCTTAGCATCTGTCGCCAGCGCCCAAGTTCCCGCACCGCACGATGATCCCCGAGGATATATCCGAGCGGTGAAAGAGATGGTCAGGCTATGGAAAATCCATCTGATAATTCCCATCCACGAAGAGATTTTCTACTTAGCGGACAGCGGTGAGCCTGATATCATCGCTCGTCTCTTCGCACCGCCTTTCCACCTCCTGCTACGCCTGCACCACAAGTTCGAATTCTCGAAGTTGACGCAGGATATCGGTATGGATGTGCCCGAAGCCCATCTCTGCACTAGTATAGACGACGTCCTTCAGGTCCCCATGGACCGCTACCCGCACGGCATTGCCCTGAAACCAGTCTTCGGCCGCGCCTCCACAGGAGTCCACCACATCCACCCCGGCCAATCCATCCCCGAAAACCTCCCAATCTCCCCATCCAACCCGCACATAGCGCAAGAATGGCTCGTCGGCGACCGCTACTGCTCCTACAGCATCGTACGCGGCGGCCAAGTCGAAGCAACCGGCTGCTACCCAGTCCTCGACACCCTCGACGGCTCGAGCTCCGTATTCTTCCAACAAAAATTCCACCCGCCCGTCTACGAATACATCCAACGCTTCATCTCCTCCCTCCCCCCCTTCTCCGGCCAAATCGCCTTCGACTTCATCGAAACCCGCGACGGCCTCTTCGCAATCGAATGCAACCCCCGCGCAACCTCTGGCCTCCACCTCTGGTCCCAAACCCCCTACCTCGCCCGCGCCATCACAGGAACCTTACCAAAAGAAGAAATCGAACGACCCATCCGCCCTCCTCGAAAAATGTTAGGACGAGAATCACATTTCCAAGTCGCGGCGGGGATGTTGATGTGGGAGCATAAAAACGCGTCGTTTAAAGTGTGGTTGAGTCATATGAGACGTTTGGTTTTTACGCGAGATGTGATTTGGAAGTTTCGGGATCCGATGCCGACCATTGCGCAGCCGTTTTTGTTGACGGAGTATTATCATGCGTGTCGGAAGCAGGGGGTGCAGTTGCCGGAGCTTTTTCAACAGCAGTTGATTTGGGAGCCGAAGGGGGAGGAGATGGAGAGGGTTAATGCGGTTTTGTTGGGGGGTGGTAAACTTGGTGGTGGAGGTGGGGAGGAGGAGATGTTGGGGGTGCTGGATGAGCCGCAGGTTGAAGAGGTGACGGTGGAGATGGAGGATATTGAAGGTTCGACTTTGGGACGTCCGTCGATTTGAGTCGCGATTTGAGGTTGGACTTTCGGGCGGACGGTCCGGTGGTTTTCTTTCGTGAGGAAGCATTGATTACTACTCTCTCGGGATGCCAAGCGTTCTGCTTTGCGTTTGGATTATGTGATACCCAGATCTCTCCTTAAAGTTGATGTACTGCAGCGACATTCCTCTTGAAAAGCACCAGTTTGCTAGTTGTTTTCGTGATGTACGAGCATATCATCAATGCTCACAAAAGCAATAACCGTGATCCTCAAACTCCTGCATCGTGCTGTCGACACCTTCCCGAAAAGCAAGATAAGAATCGGTGACGTTTTCAGAGTCGTGGTAGTACAAAGCAGAAGCACATATGCGCTCATTCAGCTGTCCCTCAATGTGCCATGAGCCACCATCGTAGGTCGGCTTCTCGTGGTTGAGATGGATATTTGCAAGCTTGACTATGACCTGAAGACCTTGCTCGTTGAAGACCTTTCGCCACCGATTTATTTTCTCTGCTATCCTTGCATCGGCAAGCGCAAGATCTTCCGTGCTCGGCAAGGCATAGTTAGGAACTCTGCCCTCGCCTTTCTTAGGCGTTTGAAGTACGCTTCGTGGCACTCGGTGTCGAGGTTGAAATGGCAAGGGTTCCGGAGTTGCTATTAGGCAATGATATCCACCGTAGCAATATTCTTTATTGCAGCCATAATCGCCTTCTGGACACTTGTTCTCTTCAGTCTCGATCCATGCGTCGCCGAACTCGCCATGTATGCGACTGCCCACTGAAAGTTGTGTAGAGAGGATGGTGTGCAACCACATTGGAACCGAAGCAGGCATTACATCTTCGATAGCACGGTACAGATCCTCATTGTCGTGTGGATGCAGATTGTTGATGTAACTGGTGATTTTGGCTCGGTTCTCGGCATCCAAGGCAACTTCGCACGGCAGCCATTGAAATTCGTCCGAGTATCGTCCAAACTGAGCGCCGTTAGATGCCTCCGGTATGATCTCACCTTCGCAAATCGTCGATGAACACTTCTCGAGGGGTACCCTTCCTCCCGGCAGAATGCGAGATGGTCCGTAGACGAGGGGGAAAAGTGAGGGGTGGACCAAGTCAAGCACTTTGCTAATGGGAGCTGAATGTCGAGCAGGCGGAGTGGTCGAAGAAGTGGAGTGAACGGGAAAGGGGAAGGCTTGGCGCTCCGGTCGCGTTCAGGCGTTCTTTCCCTACCATTCAGCGTTGTTTCCCTACCATTCAGTTGCTCCTACCACAAAAACACCTATGGACGTGGAGCAGTACAATTGCTCCCACATTCGTGCTTCTCATCAAGCTGGCTACATGTATGTCTTGGGCTGACTAAGCTGGGTGCGATGGTCTAGACTGGACTCACTATGTGCACCTCTGCAGCATCATGTTTGCAAGCTCTCAGTATCTCGATTGCTGCCAAGCTTCCACCACTATGATCGCCAATGACCTTAGGAACATCCGTAGAGCAGGCTGAAAGACTTTCGACACTCGCTTGTTTCCCGGTTTCGCGCTCAGTAGCCGCGACCTGGCACTTGCTCGGCTCCCGGTCTGGGCCGATCTTATACCTCCTGGCGCCTTCGTGCTTACTGTTCTTCAGATACATATAGCCGCCTGTCTCCCGTCCAGTGGACATCTCACATCGATCGACGAGACACCTCAAAGTGCGCAGAGGACGAAGTGTTCGGCAAGAAGCTCCACGGACCAGAAAAATATATGAGAGCTTGGCAGAATGCAGATGCAGAGGCAGATCTTTGCTGGCAATCACAGAGGCCCCCTGCTGTCCGGATGATGTATGCTGCTGGGGAACACTTTGGACCTGGCGCTGCCGTGTTCCAGTCTACGGTGCGGCGTTCAAGACACAATTCTGGCCAACGCCAAAAGTGCCGGCTGTGTCTCATGTATGCACCAACGATCAAGCGTCGATCCAAGCATAGATCATGGCTCCTACGCCGCTCGGGTCCTGCTGTACATCTCCTAACGCCATGCCATGGCTGTGCCTGTGTAAGTGGTGCTCTTGCTCGTCTGGGCAGAGTGCAGCGGTATGGCCGAGCGCCGTGGCTTGTAGGGAAGCGTCTTTATCGAACCTCAGCTACGCCATGTCCAGCCCTATGCTATGCAATGCAATGCAATGCACGGCACGCATGATACTTGTTTGTCGCACGTGGCAGAAACGTCGACGTTATTCGGATGCGGCTGTGTTGACATTTGGTAACAGCAACGTCCACTGCCACTGCCCAGACTCTCCAACTTCCTCCATGGAATGTGTCTATGGAGGCTCCGAAGGTGCCGTTCGCAAATTGCAGCTCTCCATGCGTTATGCACCATGCGCCATGCGTTGCTGCTCTCCGGCTCCGGCTTCACCGTCTTCACCGCATGCAGCATGGACGTTGCTGTGTCAGAGGAGCGCCTTCCGAATTGGCACGAACCGCTGAGCACGTTTTGTCATCAACCACGAAAGTGAGCCGACAATTTGGGCTTCTCGACAAGCACGCTCTCGAGACAGACACACTACATGCACACCACATCCAACACCTCACCACGGCCCTCAATGGCGATCATAGAACGACTTCGAGCCTTCCGCAGTTCGCTCGTCTTCATCACCTTGGTCATCTCCTTCTCCGTATACACAGATCAGTTCCTGTACGCCGCCATCGTCCCCGTCACGCCCTTCGCCCTCAAGGAGCATGGAAACATCTCTGAGCACCACACCCAGTTTTGGACCGCAATACTGCTGGCAGTCTTTGGCATCGGCTGCTTCTTGAGTTCGCGTACGTTGTCCTTGCCTTACCCGTTTCGATAGTAGCAAACAGCACTGCTGCTGGACTGTTGCTGACACTTCGCAGCACCTTGGGCCTGGTACACCGACCACAGCAGAAATCGGCAGATCCCGTTCATCATCGGCCTGCTCATACTCTTGGGCGCCACCGTCATGCTCTGGCTCGCACCGACAATACACGTTCAAGTCGCCGGTCGCCTTCTGCAAGGCGTCGCCAGTACCGTGGTGTGGACCACAGGTCTCGCCGTTCTCGTGGATACAGTGGGACAGGAACAAGTTGGAGGTCAGCATACTATGGTCTGCTTCTTACGATGACTGAAAAAGTCGCGTCGAGACGTATAATCATGAGGCATTCCTCCCCACAATCTGCACATGCTAATATCTTCCAGAATACGCCGGGTACATTAATATTGCACTCAACATGGGAAGTCTTACTGCTCCGCTACTGGGCGGCATCATGTTTGAACGTCGCGGCTATAATGCAGTCTTTGCACTCATCCTTGGTGTCATCGGCTTGGACATCGTCTTTAGACTTATCATGAAAGAGAGAAGCTCTTCTACCGCCAGCAATCACCGACCTATCGATCTCGAGAATCGCCGCAAGGGCCAAGCAAGTACCGTGGTCGATACCCAGGAAATCGCCGAAGACACCCTATCAACGGCATCCACCATCGTCTCATCAAGCGTAAACCCAAAGATACCAGCCATGATCCGCCTCCTTTTCTCCGTCCGCTTCATCGTCGCACTCTGGGGCATTCTAGTACTCGCCGCAGTCTTCTCAGGATTCGAGACCGTACTTCCACTTCACGTCAATAAAATCTTTGGCTGGGATTCTGAAGGTAGTGGTCTGATTTTTCTACCGCTCTCGCTGCCAGCGCTGCTTGGGCCCTCGATCGGCAAGATCACAGACAAATATGGAGGCCGCTGGTTCGTGGCTGGCGCCTTTGTGGCCCTATGCCCTTCCCTCGTTCTTATGCGACTGGTGAAGGACAACACACTCTCCCAGAAGGCCCTGCTAGTCATCCTCCTGGTCGTCGTCGGACTCTGCCTCACAATCATCCTAGAACCGCTCTTCGCCGAGACGGCCCTCCGCTCAGACCAATTGCGCAAGCAAGAAAGAGATGCCGGCATTGCGCGCACCGGATGCAGTCGAGGATACTATGGGCAAGCATACGGCTACTTCAACATGGCATGGTCCCTCGGTAATACCGTGGGACCATTGCTGTCTGGATTAGTGATAGATGCTGCCGGCTGGGAAATGGCTGTGTTGAGCTTGGGCTTGCTGTGTGGCGTCAGTGCTGTGCCAATTGTGTTGTGGACTGGAGGATACATCTTCTCCAAACGAGGATAAGGGTCCGAGCTGCTGGGGGCGGGCCCGGATGGCCCCCAAAAATTTGCATCTACGTGAGCTGAGGTAGCTCAAGAAGAATGAAATAGAAATTCCAAACGCTTCTCTCTCGTGCACAGCTTCGACGCCTCTCGGCTCGCAATCGGCGCTTGCTGCGTTAGAAGCTTCAACGGAGCTGAAAATTTCAAAAGCCAGGTGCTGGTCGCCGTCGAGCTGTGCCTGCTTCGTACTCCCGGACTTACCACTCCTTCCATGACACTCCGAAGACGAATACCGTGGATCGTATGTGCGAGAAGAGTATCCCGTTATCAGTGTCTACGGAGAGATGTGAGTGCTCACGCGAGAGATTTTGCTTCTTTTTTTTTCCAATGCATGCCCAGGACCGAACGTTTCAGGTGTCAATCGCTCGCTGTTGCAGGGACTGGAGGAGTAGAGGAGTGTGTGAAGTGAGCTTCTGCGTGGTGCAGGAAGCGGTAGGTGAGATCTAGACTGGTTCACTTGGATCAATAGGTTCTCATCCGGGTACTGTACGCTGCGCAAATCAGGTGTCATTGGGGTGAAAAGGGATCGGACTCACCGCGGCTATATGCTTCCCAATTCGAGGTCATTACCACGCACCAAGGATCCAAGACCGCTGGAGCTGAGGAACGAGAGCCGAGAGTGTTGTGGTTCAGTCAGGTGATATGCTGGTCAGCTGATACCATTAGCTAACCTGTGCTAAGAGGAAGGATATACAATAGGTATATTAACTATAGTCTCTGTAGCAGGCTCCTAATCCTTCTTTATACAGTTATATAGTTGTTAATCCGATAATTAGTTGCATCCCTAGTACGATTTACAATAGGTTATAAGCCCGGCGTATACGCTTACCTATCTAGTTCAACTACAAAAGAACTGTTTCCAGAGTCTACCAAACAGAGCTAGCTATCTAGACCTATTAGGTACCTAGTTAAAAGCTCTAGTTCGGACTAAAACCTAGTAAGTGTCCCTTATAAGCCCTACCTAGCACTATACTAAAAGGCAGCTAGGAACGATAGACACTAATTAGACAAAGATAGTAAAGGAGAATCAGGTTCTTAGGAAGGGGATCAACTTCTAAGACTAGAAGCTTATATTCTAGGCGGCCCTTCTAGAAAAGGACCTAGTTAGTATAGTATTCTATAGACTTGACTAGGCTAATAAAATAAAACTACCTCTAAAAAGCATGTTTATAAGGGACTCAGCCGATCAGTAGTATAGAGACATATTTAGGGACTAGAAAAAGAAGGATATCTAAGCCCTAGGCATACTTATTACTAGACTCGACCCTGCTCTTAGACTAGACTTCGGTAATATACCTAAGTTAGCTAAGGATATATACGACTACATTGAGGCTCTATATAAGCCTATTATAACCGTAGACATATTTGATACTATCAAACTCATTAGGTATATCAGGATGCCCCTTACTAATCCGAACACCTAGTAGTACTACGAATCTTTTCAGCAGTAGTTTAATAGATTCCAAATATCGATAGAACAATTTGCTAGCTTAGTTACAACAACAGAAGCGCCTATAAAGTTATTAGACATTAAGATGCCTAATATGCTTATTAGGATGCTATTTATTTAGGGCCTTTCTAGTTACGAATAGCTTAGATCCTAGAAGTATAACAACAAGCCTAAAGCTAAGGACTCCTCCCTTAAAGTAATAATAACGTCCCTAAGGAGAGAAAAGCCTCCTAGACAGTTATCTAGCGGCTTAAAGCTTGTTAGAGGGGCTATTAGCAATAATAACGACTAGTGCACTTAGTATAAGTATAAGCATACCAACGCTAAGTGCTATAAGCAATACCCTAATATAGTACTACCTAGTTAGGGAAAGAAAGACAAGAGCAAAGACAAAGACAAAGATAAAGGCAAGAAGGGTAAAGGCAAAGGAAAGGGCAAATCTAGTAGTGCTATTAACAATAACAAAGATGAATTAGACTCCTCCTCTAACTCGGAAGATAAGGGAGACTATTAGCTAGACGGCCTTAGTAGGGGCCTAATTGGGGGAGCTATTGCAAAGCCGGGACTAGCTATAGCAAGCTCTAAGAACCTAACAGCTAATACAAAAGTGTAGGATACAGGTACATTACTACATATTATAGGGAATAAGAGCTAGTTTAGCGATCTTAAGCACCTAACTAAGCCTGTTTAGTTCTCCTAAGTAGTAGGAAAATCAAGTGTATTACGATTAGGAACTGTTAATATCTTCCTAACCTATAAAGGAAAGAAAACCCCAATTACTCTAATAGACGTCCTCTACTCCCCGAACTTAGATTACAACCTAATCTTAGTAAAGCGTCTTTAGAAGAAATGTAGTATTTACTTAGATAGACCTTTAGGCACTTTGATACTTAAAGGCAAGCTAATTAGAAAGGTTGAGGAAGTATAAGGAGTACTTGCCCTTAAAGATACTAGAGTTAAAATGCTAGGCTCAGCTTTAAAACTAAACTTAGAATCGAGTTAGAAAGGGCAGCTATTAGCCCTAGCTATCGCTAGACTACGAGCGGACACATTAAGATGGTATTAGAGACTTAGCTACGTCGGCAACAAGATCCTAACAGCTACTAAGGAAGCTATTCTAGGCCTAGAAGAAGTTGATATATCTAAACTCGAGCACTATAAGACCTACAAGCTCTCGAGAGCTTAAAGAGTTATATTAAGAGAACATAGAACTAGACTAGAAAAAGCCCTTAACGAAGTCTATATTAACCTTGTTAGCGTACAACCATTTAATCTGTTTAGAAACAGGTATATTATAATCCTAACTAATGCTAAAACTAGGCTTAGGTAGGGTCTGTTACTTCGAAACAAAGACAAGGTAACAAGTAGTAATAAGCTAACCAACTAGATAACTAGAATCAAGAGGCAATATAACAAAATCCCTAAGATTATCTTTAGTAATAGCGGGGGAGAGTTTACTAACAACGATCTAGTATATTTTGTAGAGGAAGTTAGCATTAGATAGGATGTATCTATACTATATATACCGGAGCAGAATAGCATTACAGAGTCGTTAAACAAGACGATTCTGCTTAAGGCAAGAGCAATAATAATTGACTCTAGTCTACCAATGTACTACTAGTGCTTTATAGTAATGCATTCGATTTACCTAACTAATAGACTAGTAAACTTAAGAACTAAGGAAGTTCCACTTAAGGCTTTCGAATCAGACTTGAATATCGGCAGTACAGACATTAACCTATCTAAGACGAGACGATTTAGCTATAAGGCATTTAAATACCTCGAATCCGGAGTTAAACGACTTAACTCCTAGAAATTTGTACTAAGAGCTTTCGTTTACTAATTTATTAGATTCTAAGAAAATTCGTTAATAAACTATCTGCTTTAGAACCCGCACTAGAAGGATAGCGTATAGCAGCATAATATTAGATTCTCTCTATACGTTACCTTTAACGAGGACTTTGTCTATAAAGACAATTTCACTAAGCTTCTAAGTACCCTTTAAGCTTAGGGGGAGTATTTGAGACTAGCTATCCCTTAGGAGACTATTTAGGTACTTAAAACCTAGTCTAACCTTTCATTTAAGTTAGGAATCCTAGCACTATTCCCTAGTAATAACCAAACACCTTAGCACTCTTTAGAACCTTAGGGGGAGCTATTTAGAGGTAGCATCCCTTAGCCTTAGTAGGCTTATAATTAGGAAGATTAGGAAGACTCCCTTACAGCTTAGGGGGAGCAAGGTACACTTAAGTAAGGAACACTACCTTAGCTAACACCTATAGCTAATAAGCCAATACTCTAAAATTACTAACTAGAACTACTAGCTACCTAACAGGAAGCTGCTCCTAAGAAAAATTAGCATACTTAAGAAACAGATACTACTAAACTAGAAGACACCCTAATTACTCCCTTCTAAATCCCTAAGACTACTAGTAAGAGAAAGAGGGCTCCTAACCTACCTTAGCTAAACCCTCCTTAAGCCGAAGTACGACTTAGGTCTAGCAGAGCCGTAGCCAAGCATAACTATAGCAAGATCACTAAGATTGCTATAGCTACTGCTATAAAAGATGCTTAGAAGCCAGCTAACCTAACAACCCTAGCTAAAGCCCTAAAAAGGCCTAACTAGGATGAATAGAGAAAAGCCGTTATAAAAGAGATAAGGTCTCTTAAAAAGTCTAGTACAATCGAGTAGATTCTAGCCGAATCCCTACTAAAAGGCAGAACACCTTTAATAGGAAAATAGGTTTTTAAGATTAAATACCTACTAGACGGCTCTATTAACAAATACAAGGCAAGATAGATAGCTAGAGGCTTTATACAGAAGCAAGGTCTTAACTATATTAACACCTATGCTCCTATACTAAGAGCAGCTACTGCTAGACTTGTCCTTAAGCTTTTAGTAAGCAAAAACTAGAAGCGAAGACAGGTTGATATCGAGACTGCTTTCTTGAATCCCCCTCTAGATAAAGAGATTTTTATTAGACCCCTAGAAGGCGCGTACCTATTCAAGAAGCACCCTCTAAAGTAGATCATCCGTATTAGAAAAGGATTGTATAGCCTTAAGCAGGCTGCTAATCTCTAGCACTATAATGCTTTAGACACTCTTCGTTAACTTAGCCTAAGTAGGATAAAGAGTAACTGTTGCCTATAGCAAGGTAATAGTATTCTTGTCCTCCTTTATATAGATAACTTCTAAATCTTTAGAACCTCTAAGGTAAAGATCGATGCTCTAATTGAAGGTCTTCGTAAGAAGTATATAATCAAGATTGTTACGTCTAACCTGTTTCTAGGCCTTTATCTAAAGGAAGACAAGGAGGGAAACCTTACTATCTCCTAGATACATTATACTAAAGAGAAGCTTTAGAAGCATAGCTTGGACTAGTACAAGCTAATAAAGCATCTACTTAAGAAGCTTTACGAGCCTCTTACAACCCCCTATAACCGTTAGGACTACTAGCTGTTTAACACTATAATTGGTAAAATGCAGTTTCTAGCTAACTAGACTAGACTAA